TTTGGGGGGGGGGGTTTCGGTAATGGGTTGGGCGTTGGTAAGCGAGGTTTGATAGGGTTGGGTGCTCTCAGACTGGATTTGGGATGATGATGGGTATTGGCTAACGGGGTGATATGAAGAAAGGTGTTTAATATTGTTTTCTTGTATTTATATTTTGTACTGTACATTCCGACGAGCGGGAAGGCAGATTCTTGGATCTTTGCAGAATTGTATATCACAAAAATATGATTCAAAAAGGAAAAAGTTGTTCGACATTGAGTTTGAAAATTTGTTTTTTAGTAAAACGAACTTGATTCATGGCACAGCCTTTGTTTTTTCGTGTTGGTATTGAGTGAGAAATGCTACAGATTTGGTATCATGTCGGGTATCATGCCGTTGTCCCCCTTCCCAATGCCCCTATGATCTCAAATCATTTAGGATGTTATGCTGCCTTGCCTCCCAAGAATGCCCTCACGAACGAATGCCCGAACAAGTAGAAACCTCGCAAATGAACGCACCAGAACATGCAACCCACCTCTGAATGCCCGCCCAAAAATGCCCCTCCAAAATGGATACCCCCAAAAAACGTAACACTACATCCCAACGAAAAACTCATAGCCAACGTAAGAAACGTCACAACCAAAGGTAATCAAAAAATCCAAAAAATCCAAAAAATCCACAAATCCACCCCTAACGACCAAATGAACGGACCAAGAGGGCAAAAGCATTCAAGCACCCTTATACCCATACCTCAACTCGCCCAACTCCCTCTCCGGATCCACACTAGCCATCACCCACTTCCCACAAAGCACAATACCATATATCCCCGCCGGCAGACCGCAAAAGATCAACTCCCACGCAGCCTCCTCTCCTCCAAGCCTCTCACCCCTACTCCCTGCGAGTCGACCCAGTAACAAGGGGACCCCACAAAGCAGCACATTCAAAAACGGCAACCACTGTCGAATCGGTCCCTCCCCATCTACATCTCTCGATTTCAGCTTCTCCGCGCGTGACTTTGGTGTCTGTACTTGCGCCGACGAGGAAGGCGTGTCCAAGTAAGGAAACCCCGTCTTCTCAGGTGGGAGGGTGAGCACGAGGTAGGCGGTTGAGAGCAGCGAGGTGAGACATAGCAGGCTGAGAAAGGGGGGCGTGCTGGTGGATGTTGAGAAGGTGGTTAGGTGGGAGAAAGAAAGGAGGTAAGGCGAGGTCGCGGCGAGAGGGAGGGTCAGTAAGATGCGCGTATACGTTTTATTTAGGGTTTCGTTTTGCAGGTGGAGGGTGCGGATGAGACGGTCTTGTTCTGTGGTGCGTGATTAGGTGCAATGCTCGCGTTAATAGGCGGTGGAATTCATAACTTTATTTTTCGCGTTTTTTCTTGTTTTCTTGTTTGCCTTGCGAGAAATCAAGGCGCGAGAAAGTCTTGGGGAAAAGCGGGGATTTTTGGAAAAAGTGATAGGATTTGGGAGGTAAGGGAGGGGGAGGGTAATGTACCTTCTTCGTCCATGGCTTCGGGATCGGAATCTTCATCTGAGGAGTGATATCGAAAGGCCTTTCGCAAACGAGTGGTTGTCTTCTCCATTTTCTTCTTCTTCGCGCAACGGAAAAGGGGGGAAGGGTCTTATAGCAAACGAGATGAGGTGAATGGGGAATGTGGAGCTGGCAAGTTTTGTGTTGAGTTATACTGTGAGTTATGGGCAAGCATCCCCACCATAACTATGGAGGGTCATTACAACCTCGGATGTTGATAGATGAAATCTTGGCAGCCTCAGCCTTGCAGGAAAGTCACTTCAGCCTTGTCACATGGTGATACCAGAGGGCTTGGCATCTGCACTGCACTGATCGGATCTAAAAGCTTGTGGTAAGATCAGATATTGACTTGCGATTGAGGGTAAATTTCAAAAGTCACAACACCATGCTACCACGACTACTACGCTCAAGTGTGCTACCCCGATTTCTAAATGTGCGGGGAATAGTACCAAGGAACAACTTCATACAAAAACGAACACTAATAGCCGCACCCAAAGAAGGCGATGGACCTCTAATGAGTCGACGAGCGGACCGAGAACTCCCAGGTAGATTTTCCCTCCTAAATTTAAGAACCCCTCCCTCTAACTGCATTCAGATATCCCAGAAAATGGCATGAAATGGGTCCGCACCATCCCCATCTTCCTCGTCGTCCTCATCTCCTCCACCCTCGCAATCTTCAACTACCAAAAGTCCTCCTCCTCCGTCGTATCCTCGACACTCTACGCCCTGCGCACCTCGCCCAAGGCACGCGAATACCTCGGCGACGAGATCTACTTTGCGCATAAAATGCCTTGGATCTGGGGCGAGATGAACCAGCTACATGGACGTATAAATATTCATTTTGAGGTGATGGGGACGAGGGCGAAGGGCACGATGAGGTTTACTAGTCATCGACCGACGAGGTTGGGGATGTTTGAGACTACCGAGTGGAGTTTGGAGACTTATGAGTTGGTGGAGGTGGAGGGCGTCATGAGGAGGAGGAAGATTGATTTGCTGGATGGGGAGGATCCGTTTAAGGGGATGGAGGTTGATGCTGAGGAGGTTAAGAGTGTGGGGAGGGGAAGTTATGCTCCGAATTTGTCGGGCTAGGACTTTGTTTCCCTGACGAGGGGGAAGCTGTGCGCTATGAAGGAGTTTAAAAGAAGCTGTAAAATAGGGAAGCCAAAGGAACGTAAAAGAAAGAATTGAGAAGGAAACTCGGTTCAAGCATTGGGAGGAGGCGTAAAGGACTTTTGTCTACAAACGCCAAAGGTATACCACATGTATTTTTACAAATCCCATTTCATAATGTACATCTCCATCTCTACGCAGCAACAGCTTTCTTCAGCGTAGGAGCCGTCTTCATCCTAGGAACCTCTCCCACAATACCAGGAACATTTGGCCATGGCTTTTTGATCGAATCCGCAATCTTAACCACACACCCTTTAGGTCCAGCAATACACCCATTGAGCACCAAAATCCCATTCTCAGCATCAACCTTCAACACCTTAACCGCCTGAACGGTGACCTGCTGTCCGCCCATATTCCCAGGCATCCTCTTCCCCGGATGCACCCTCGAACCACCACCCTGCGACGGCCCCGACGAACCCATCAACCGATGCGCCAACGAATTCCCATGCGAAGCTCCCTGCCCTTTAAACCCATGCCTCTTCATCCCACCCTCAAACCCCATCCCTCGACAATTACTCCTCGTGTCCACAAACTGGCCCTCCGAGAACCACTCGGGCCCAATCAACGACCCAATCTTCGCCAATCCACTCTCATCTTTAACCCTAAACTCCGTCACAAACCGCTTCGGACTGACTCCCTGCCCCGTGAAATGCCCTAGCAGCGCTCGAGTAACATTACTCTGATGTTTCCACCCGGCCCCCATCTGCACAGCGAAGTATCCGTGTTGCTCCCTCGTCTTGTGAGCCACGACCTGCACGCGATCGAGCTGGACAATCGTACACGGCGTGCGAATCCCCGTCTCGGGGTCGTAGAGCGCCGACATGCCTTTCTTGATGGCTAGCACGCCCGTTCGTAGTGGGAGTGTTTTTGCTTTGCGCTCCAGGGCTGCGGCGGGGGATTGCGAGAGTTGGGGGAGTCCCGCGGTTTGCTGGTTGAAGCGGCCATGTTTGGAGCGTGGGTTCGCGGTCGTCCAGCCGTATTTGATGCCTCGTTTGGCGGTTATGGGGAGGAAGGAGGAGGGGAGGAGGAAGGTGGAGGGGAGGGTTGCGCAGCTTGGTGGCAGCTTGGGTGCCATGTTGTGTGGTGGGCGTCACTTGTGCGTGGTTTACACTCTTGATATCGAAATGTTGGAGCTTGAAGTGGATGGGTTATTTTTCTACGGGGGCCGAGTTTGTGGTACAGACAGTACGGGGGCCGGGAGAGACCACTAGTACCACCAATATAATTTCTCTCCCACATGCAGCCCAGACCCTCGGTTCCTCGTGCTTTCGTGCCACAGTATGGAAATTCGGGAGTGTATTCAGGATGGTTTATTACTTCACATCTAACGTAGTGACGCCTAGCGCATTCATCTACGTCGGGAAAGACAAAGTTGAAAGTGTGTTCTTCCTTCCATTTTCCTCCCCCTCTTTCCCTCCTCACATGAGGAGCATCCATTCATCGGAGGTGGTGTAGATGAGATGGAAAACCAACACCAACACTAACATCAAAAACAGACGAGGACCTCATCAAATACGGCCTCGAAGAAGATGTCTGGTTCCACGTCGATAAACTGTCCAGTGCACACATCTACCTACGCATGAACGAGGGTGAAACATGGGAGAATATCCCTCAGGATCTACTGACGGATTGCGCGCAACTGACGAAAGCGAATTCCATTGAAGGTACCCTTTACCTCATTCCCTCCCTAACCCTCAAACCAAAAAATGTCAAAACTTGAAAGTAATCCACTAACCCCAGAAACCAGGAAACAAAAAAGACAACATCACAATAATCTACACCCCCTGGTCGAACCTAAAGAAAGATGGAAGTATGGCCGTCGGCCAAGTATCTTTTAAAGATAATAAGAAGGTTCTCTACCTCCTCCTCTTTCCCCTCCCTCCTTTCCCACTTTCTCTCTCATCCTACCAAACCATTGTATTCCTCTCAAAGTAAATCCTAACACATCATGTTTTTTTTAAAAAAAAATAGGTAAAAAGGATCCTCATCACCCAACGCGAAAACCCCATCGTCAACCGTTTGAACAAGACGAAAGTAGAGAGATTCCCCGATCTCGCCATGGAGAGGGAGGAGAAGTTGAAGGCGTTGAGGAAGAGGGATCAGGGGTTGAGGTTGGAGAGGGTATGTCTTTTCTAATCATCTCCCTCTTTTCATTTTCCTTATTATCCCCCTCTTCCCCTTCCCGTACCCTTCTCGTTCCACTTCTCTGCACACAGAATTGAAAACCGAGATCCAAACTGCGCGTTGGGGAGTTACAAAAAACCAAACACCAAAATAAAACTAACTCCACCACCCACCCCCAGAAAAAAGAAGAAGCCCGAATCGCCCAAGAAAGAAAAGAAAAGAAATGGCAAAAGGACCACGCATATGATGAGTTATTCACGGGCAATGATCCAGAGGAGGCGAATAATCAGTATCAGGATGGAAATGATTCGGATGATTTCATGTAACTAACGCTTTTCAACAATGGGTGGGAGATGGAGGATTGATACGCATTTTCAGCTAGGTAGTTTATTAGACTACTGTAGGGAGGCTAAAAGGGAGCTCTGTTTCAACGGAATTGTGACAGAAGCTTGATCACGGGTATGGAGTTCTAAGCATGTTACGAATTGATACTTGTCTTATTGCAATTCATGAAATGACGAGGGAAAAGATACGTGAAGAAGTATTCTTGGTTTTCATTCTTCTTTGGTGATCAGAAGATTGGTCCTCATTGTAGTGTCAAGGAGGACTTTCTGGTCTGTTACGCAACTTACGCATTCATCACTAGCGACAGGTGCCCTGTCTATAAAAAGATTAGAAGAGTCCTTACAAGAGCAAGAGTCAAGACCAGAGCCAAGAAAAGTAACAAACATACCTATTGATAATTCATCTCCGCCCTTCAACCATCAATCAACTATTACCCAAGCCAAGCTTAGCTTTCCCTCAAAATACCCTCCCTAACCCATCCATCCACTCATCCCTTCCACACTTCCCACCAAATTCTCACCATCAACCAAAGCAGTCAACAGAGAACCACCCCATCAAACCTCATCAAACCCCAACAGAACTCCAATTCCCCTTCACCACCCCTCTCAATCTCCCTCCCCCCC